TCAGCGCCAGAGAATATCGACAGAAGAAACGCCCTGCGCGAGACTTGGTTGTCTCCTTATATAAACAACACCAGCAAAGTACGATATTTATTTTTGTTAGGGTTGAGTGAATACGTAGCCCCTGATGCTATAATTCAACAAGAAAACACTGTGTATAAGGATATTCTCCAAGGTGACTTTCTGGACGATTATCACAACCTTACTTACAAAACCCTGATGGGACTTACATGGGCAGTGAATCATTGTAAAGAGGCGAACTTAATTATTAAAGTAGATGACGATGTTTGGTTAAATATACCAACATTACTGCAACTACTTAACTATAATCTGCATTCATTCTCTATTGGCGGCAAATGTTTATACAACTCTCTACCTATAAGGAACCCGGATTCTAAATGGTATGCATCGTTCCAGAGTTACCCGGAAACTTACTTTCCGCCATTTTGTGCAGGACCGGGTTATGTGATATCACCAAAGACCGCAGCAAAGATTTTAGAAGTTTCTAAGAATGTTCCCTATTTTCACCTTGAGGATGTCTACGTGGGAATGTGTATTCAGAAACTAGGACAGCGAATAAAAACGATTTACGGCTTTTTGTCTTTTAAGCCGTCCGGTCATTTATGTCGTCTGCGACACTATTCCATAATCCTGATTCACGAGGTGTCTCCGGAAGACATGCGGCTGACTTGGGATTACAGGTGTGGCGGGAAAACCTTCTTAGGCAGGAAGCGGCGCAGAACATTGGGTTAACAAGGCCAAAAGGTAGCCTTGCACTTTGCCAGCAAATGCCCGACAATCACACCCTAACAAGGGAGTAACCTTGTTGTCAAAGTGTTCGCCCGTGACCTGGTTCGATTCCCCACATTGGTACAACTAGTGAAGAACATTTCTGGTGACCCCCGCCGTGATGTCGATGGAATATTGCTGAAAGCGGCGTAAAACCAAACTCACTTACAACCTAACTGTGCTGTACATGGTACCGCGCATGAGTATCTGTGAATATCAGACGAATTTATTTGTTATTTCTGTTTATCAATGAATAATGATAGTTATTATCATTAATTGTTAGCGTAGTTACTGGATGTGGATATAAGCCAGTCAACATTATTACCGCTGTTTCACGAGAGGCCATTAGATAGATGGGTCTAGATCTAATCTGAGTATACGATCTTAAGTACAGACACAGATTCATGATAACAAGAAGCGAAAGCATCAGCAGGGTCATACATTGCAACCATACTGGCTCTTCCGACGAGCGTTTAAAATTGGGTTTCTGAATTTTACGTTCGTTGTAAAACAATGGAATCAACTGTGTGAATGAGACTTCTGTTGCTTATAAATTAAAAGTTAGAATTCAGTGTATATATGTTTATAAAAAATCTCGAAACTTGAATAAAATTCTCACATAATAACATTGCTTCACTGAAATTGGACTGTATATATTTTTCAAAAGATGTAAAACAATTGAGCTTTTCCGAAACCAAACAAACAAAGGCGACACACCTAACCCACACTGTTTCCCTTTGTGACAGACCCGTGAAGATCCGGGTTAGAATTTATCTTCAGTAACCCATGCTTGTCGACTAGCGAAGATTCGACTAACGGGATCGGGTGGTCAGGCTCGCTGGCTTGGCTGACACATGTTATCGTATCCCAATTGCGTAGAAAGATGCTCATGCTGTTGATCACTGGATTGTCTGGTCCAGACACGATTATTTACAGACCACCGCCATATAGCTAGAATATTGCTGAGAGCGGCGTAAAACTAAACTCACTCAGTCATTCACCCTCTATGACATTTAGGTAACCAGGATCCAGGGGTTCCTTTCACGAAGCAACCTTTACTAAGGTTAACCTTAACTCCCATTCTTTAACATTGCACTAAGGTTACTTTAGTGACTTACGATCACCTGAGTACTTTGTGAAAGGAGGCCCAGATCAACAAAGCCGTCGTAGCGTTACGAACCATCGCAACTATACAATTTATTACATGCTGGCTTTTTAATGCTACGATGGCTTTGTGGGGGTGGCCCCAGTGGCATGCCTTTATCCAGTTTAATGTCTCACTGGTGTCCACAGTCTTCCATGGCTATATTTCACTAGTCTTCAGCGGTTCCGCCTCGGCTGCAACGTCAATGGTAACGTCCAGCGTAACGGCGTTCCTTGGTACTGAGTCGTTATCCCTGAGGGAGATGGGCACTGACACGGTGCTGCCCAGTAGAAGCACTGTACCTGGCACAGAATGTATATGTAAACTGACGGGTGGGTCAGGAGAATAGGGCTTTTAGCAGATTAATTAAGATCAGATGTATTACTAAGTTAGCAAACTAACACATTTGTTATGTTGCTGGTGCTGTCATTGATCTTTTGGCCTTAACAGTTTTCGCCAACTTGTCTTCCTGTTTGTTTTAATGTGGTTTTGACCTTGATCATTGACGCCTATATTGTATAGAGAGTGGCTATTCTATAGCACCACGGCTCGGAAACATAGCAGGTTACGCCTTGACACGTCCCGCCTATTTCTAGGTCTTGGGTTCGATTCCGAAATGGGTTAAAGTTAGGAAGACCATTCGTAGGCCCCTCTTTCGAGATATCGAATGCTGATATAATCGGCATTATAGCACATCACTTAGTTCCAACACAAAGCTTTCTAGTTCAAACTGGTAGGTATTGCAAGATGGCATTTTAAAAAAAAGTATATTTGTAGAAAACATACCTGCATATATATAACTGTGGGTATATGTTCCACCACTGTCAACAATTACACCTGCGTCAAACAAAACGATGTATTAATGTCTCAATATTCAAATTTATAGTAAACTACAACACAATAAGAAAATCGTGTTCCGAGTTTTAACTCTGCGATATCCTAGAGTTTTGTTCATATCAGATAGGAAAGTTCATCTCCCCCAATAAACACATATGAGTACTGGTACTGAGAAATGGGAATACGATTACATAGGCTGAAAGTTTATTAAATGAGCATTGAAACTCTCGTGAAAATGAAGTGTGCACCACCCTTTCTCAACACACACACACGCACGCACGCACACACACACACACCACCACCCCTTTCCCAAGCAGTATCCGCCCCTGGATCAAAGGGATTCTGGATCGCATCGGGGATTTGCATCTCAGTATTTGCCTGGTGTATATTGGTGACATTGTTGTGTTTTCCAAGACATTAGATGGTCATCTTGATAGGCTGGGTAAAGGTTTCCAGAGAATAAGGGATAGCAACTTGAAATTAGCTCCTAAGAAATGCCATTTTTTCAAACGGAAAGTCTCTTATGTTGGTCATATTGTGTCTGAGAGAGTAGAACCTGATCCTGGGAAAGTTGAGGCTATTCGGAATTGGCCGACACCAACATCGCCGGAGGAGGTAAGACGTTTCCTTGGTTTCGCAGGTTACTACCGTCGGTTTGTTCACAATTTCTCTCAGATTTCTAGACCATTGTGTGATCTTCTTCCAAATCCCATTCCAAAGAACAGACGAAAGAACTCTGCTAATACGGTATGGACATGGGACACGGCACAAGAGGAGGCATTTAAAGAATTGAAGCACAGATTAACATCACCTCCAATCCTTGGTTTGCCGTTTGAATTGCATATTGACACGAGCACAACAGGTCTCGGTGCTGTTCTTTGTCAGGTTCAGGAAGAAGAGAAACGGGTCATTAGTTACGCTAGTCGTGGTCTCAAGAAATTTAGAACAACATTATTCTGCTCATAAGTTGGAGTTTTTTGTGTCTCAAATTGTCAATAAGTGAAAAGTTCCATGATTACCTTTATGGGCACAACTTTGTGGTTTTCACAGATAACAACCCGTTATCCTATGTTTTGACAAGTGCTAAACTTGATGCGACTGGGCATAGGTGGCTTGCAACACTTGCAGTTTATGATTTCAGCAGGGTTGAAAGTAGTTCTTATGCAAATTAGCCAAGTCTTAATGAGGTCAGGTCTGCTGTCTTGTCCTTGGTTTTTATTGGCTGAAGATGTGCAGCATCTTGATTGGATGTTGAATTTACTTGCATTTGGAAAGTGTGAAGTTTGTTCACTTGCTGTCTTTCTCCCAGCCTGGCAAGGTGATTTGAAAGTCATGGATGGAGGATTTTGACTTTGGTGAATTACAGGTTAGTTACACTTGGTTTTATAGAAAAGGAATAAACTACAAAAATATGTTAAATTGTTGAAAGGTTAATTCAGTATTTATTGTAACTAAATTTATGCATTTGGTGGAGGTATATTTTTGACCTATGGTTAGAAATTGTTGGTGAATTATCAATAATTTCACTTGGTGTTTTGTTGGTTACAATTGATTCAGATTAATGTTTGAGTCCAAACCAGATTGTATGTCCATTTGTTTTACTTTTTTACTGGTGAGAATTAGCATAGTGTTATATATTCATATACATTGTTTCAGACTTGTATTATTTATACAAACTACAGCAATAAACAAGGAACTTGCAGCCTCAACGGAGTTGTGTCGTTGTGAAAGTGCCATCCCCGTTACATTGCGATCGGGTGGTGGAGAGAATGGTCTTACGTCCCTGCCCTATAATAGATGAAAACTCCCGAAATAGTGATTAAGTATATAATATTTTTATGATATTATGAATAAAGAGAATTGTGGCACAGGGGTTTTTCGCTTTCTTTCTTTTTTCATGAATTCCCTATCTCCCTACCAACAACCAGCAGCACTACACCATGACCAGTCAAACGTTGTCGACCTCATTATCATCCAAAGTTTGTCAGCACTATGTTTCTTCCAATTCGTGGATTTCACATGTTGGAAAACGTCAACGCCCATGTCATTTTGGGGATTTCCCACCACATTAACCTAACACACAAAATAGACTGCATTACCGTCTGAACGGCATAAAACCCTATTCACTCACTAATATTGACGACCTTCCTGTGACCCGTCTAGATGACATCCATATCAGTAACGTCCTATCAGATAACGCGAGTTATCGATATAGACTACGTAACAGTTCACCGCTGACTTTGAGCCTGGCGGCCATATTGTACCTACCTGAAGATAAATGATGACGACCACAGTTACTAGACAAGGAATTTGCTGCGAAGGGTAAACATTTGATCATATTATCTTTAGATTGTATAAATTTCGATTTATTACATATTCAGCGTCACATCCCGATATCTATTTTCTCAATCCAAGTTTCAAGTTCTAAATGGCATTGTGTGTTCATGTATATAATGTCCATGGCCTCCTTATCACGGTCAATAACAGTGTCCGGATACACTTGTCGCATGCTCATAGAATCGTATCTTCTAGAATGTTTCTTGAAGATAACATGCTGGCAAATATGTATCCTTTGCATTTTTACAGCATTCTACACAGTTGGAAGCGCTATTAGAAGGACATTACAAGCAATAGTGAAGCCTAAGATGCCCCACAAATCCCGTCCACCCAGAAGGAAGAGAGCGTCTCTAACAGATTTACTTCTTGCCTACGTCGTAATCGTTGTATTGGGTGTTACATTCTATGTCTACTTCATCACTTCCGCTACTCAACACCTCACGTCAAATCGGATCTCTCAAAGAACCTACCGAAATGTTTTCGAAGGAAGACAGCCTCAGAATCAATGGGGACACGCTGTACTGTATAATTTAGATCAAACTCAGCAAAGGCTTGGAATTCGGAACGCCAATGAAAATATTAAAGAACTCTCGGAGGATGAGAAAAACCTGTTGCCAGTTGAATCTTATTTAGGAGATGGCCCCCGGCAGACATCATGTGACAACTGTTTTAAATACAACGTGAAGGCAGTTATAAAGGCCAATTCATGTTTAACGTCTTGGGCAAGCAAACACATAGATCTTTTAGTACTGATACTCTCGGCCCCAGAGAACATCGACAGAAGAAACGCCCTGCGCGAGACTTGGTTGTCTCCTTATATAAACAACACCAGCAAAGTACGATATTTATTTTTGTTAGGGTTGAGTGAATATGTAGCTTCTGATGCTATAATTCAACAAGAAAACACTGTGTATAAGGATATTCTCCAAGGTGACTTTCTGGACGATTATCACAACCTTACTTACAAAACCCTGATGGGACTTACATGGGCAGCGAATCATTGTAAAGAGGCGAAATTAATTATTAAAGTAGATGACGATGTTTGGTTAAATATACCAACATTACTGCAACTTCTTAACTATAATCTGCATTCATTCTCTGTTGGCGGCAAATGTTTACACAACTCTCTACCTATAAGGAACCCGGATTCTAAATGGTATGCATCGCTCCAGAGTTACCCGGAAGCTTACTTTCCGCCATTTTGTGCAGGACCGGGTTATGTGATATCACCAAAGACCGCAGCAAAGATTTTAGAAGTTTCTAAGAATGTTCCCTATTTTCACCTCGAGGATGTCTACGTGGGAATGTGTATTCAGAAACTAGGACAGCGAACAAAAACGATTTACGGCTTTTTGTCTTTTAAGCCGTCCGGTCATTTATGTCGTCTGCGACACTATTCCATAATCCTGATTCACGAGGTGTCTCCGAAAGACATGCGGCTGACTTGGGATTACAGGTGTGGCGGGAAAACCTTCTTAGGCAGGAAGCGGCGCAGAATGTTGGGTTAACAAGGCCAAAAGGTAGACTTGCACTTTGCCAGCAAATGCCGGACAATCACACCCTAACAAGGGAGTAACCTAGCGGTCAAAGTGTTTGCCCGTGACCTGGTTCGATTCCCCACATTGGTACAGTGAGTGAAGAACATTTCTGGTGACCCCGCCGTGATGTCGATGGAATATTGCTGAAAGCGGCGTAAAACCAAACGCACTTACAACCTAACTGTGCTGTACATGGTACCGCGCATGAGTATCTGTGAATATCAGACGAATTTATTTGTTATTTCTGTTTATCAATGAATAATGATAGTTATTATCATTAATTGTTAGCGTAGTGACTGGATGTGGATATAAGCCAGTCAACATTATTACCGCTGTTTCACTGAGAGGCCATTAGATAGATGGGTCTAGATCTAATCTGAGTATACGATCTTAAGTACAGACACAGATTCATGATAACACGAAGCGATAGCATCAGCAGGGTCATGCATTGCAACCATACTGGCTCTTCCGACGAGCGTGTAAAATTGGGTTTCTGAATTGTACGTTCGTTGTAAAACAATGGAATCAACTGTGTGAATGAGACTTCTGTTGCTTATAAATTAAAAGTTAGAATTCAGTGTATATATGTTTATAAAAAATCTCGAAACATGAATAAAATTCTCACACAACATTGCTTCACTGAAATTGGATTGTATATATTTTTCAAAGGTGTAAAACAATTGAGCTTTTCCGAAACCAAACAAACAAAGGCGATACACCCAACCCACACTGTTTCCCTTTGTGACAGACCCGTGAAGATCCGGGTTAGAATTTATCTTCAGTAACCCATGCTTGTCGACTAGCGAAGATTCGACTAACGGGATCGGGTGGTCAGGCTCGCTGGCTTGGTTGACACATGTTATCGTATCCCAATTGCGTAGATAGATGCTCATGCTGTTGATCACTGGATTGTCTGGTCCAGACACGATTATTTACAGACCACCGCCATATAGCTAGAATATTGCTGAGTGCGGCGTAAAACTAAACTAACTCAGTCATTCACCCTCTATGACATATATAACCGCCTCCGTGGTGTAGTGGTTAGAGCGTCCGCCCGGAGAGCGGAAGGTCGTGGGTTCGATCCCCGGCCGCGTCATACCAAAGGACGTTAAAATATGGTACTTGTTGGTCCCTGCCTGGCGCTCGGCATTAATGGGTAAAACAAGGACTGGTCGACTTGGAGTCAGTATACTGTGTCTGAGTGGGGTATTCATGCTTCACTGCGGCATGGTATCTCAGTGGGCTAGCACTATAAAACCAGCTTAAGTCTGGGCTAGTACAAGCAGCCGCACATACACATACACACGCATGCACGTCGTCATATGAGTGAAATATTCTCAAGCACGACGTTAAACCCAATTTCACCTCACCTCACCTCACTGTATATGACATATATGTGACCAGGATCCAGGGGCTCCTTTCACGTAGCAACCTTTACTAAGGTTAACCGTAACTCCCATTCTTTAACATTGCACTAAGGTTACTTTAGTGACTTACGATCACCTTAGTACTTTGTGAAAGGAGGCCCAGATCAACAAAGCCGTCGTAGCGTTACGAACCATCGCAACTATACAATTTATTACATGCTGGCTTTTAATGCTATGAAGGCTTTGTGGGGGTGGCCCCAGTGGCATGCCTTTATCCAGTTTAATGTCTCACTGGTGTCCACAGTCTTCCATGGCTATATTTCACTAGTCTTCAGCGGTTCCGCCTCGGCTACAACGTCAATGGTAACGTCCATGGTAACGGCGTTCCTTGGTGTCTTCATCCCTGGTTCCTTGGTGTCTTTATCCCTGAGGGAGATGGGCACTGACACGGCGCTGCCCAGTAGAAGCACTGTACCTGGCACAGAATGTATATGTAAACTGACGGGTGGGTCAGGAGAATAGGGCTTTTAGCAGATTAATTAAAATCAGATGTATTACTAAGTTAGCAAACTAACACATTAGTTATGTTGCTGGTGCTGTCATTGATCTTTTGGCCTTTACAGTTTCCACCAACTCGTCTTCCTGTTTGTTTTAATGTTGTTTTGACGTTGATCATTGACGCTTATATTGTATAGAGAGTGGCTATTCTACAGCACCACGGCTCGGAAACATAGCAGGTTACGCCTTGACACGTCCCGCCTATTTCTAGGTCTTGGGTTCGATTCCGAAATGGGTTAAAGTTAGGAAGACCATTCCTGGGCCCCTCTTTCGAGATATCGAATGCTGATATAATCGGCATCATAGCACATCACTTAGTTCCAACACCAAGCTTTCTAGTTCAAACTGGTAGGTATTGCAAGATGGCATTTTAAAAATAAGTATATTTGTAGAAAACATACCTGCATATATATAACTGTGGGTATATGTTCCACCACTGTCAACAATTACACCTGCGTCAAACAAAACGATGTATTAATATTTTAATATTCAACTTTATAGTAAACTACAACACAATAAGAAAATCGTGTTCCGAGTTGTAACTCTGCGATATCCTAGAATTTCGTTCATATCAGGTAGGAAAGTTCATCTCCCCAAATAAACACATGAGTACTGGTACTGATAAATGGGAATACGATCACATAGGCTGAAAGTTTATTAAATGAGCATTGAAACTCTCGTGAAAATGAAGTGTGCACCACCCTTTCTCAACAAACACACCACCCCTTTCTCAAGCAGTATCCGCCGCTGGATCATAGGATTCTGGACCGCCAAAGGGATGTAACTCTGCACAGCGAATTGCAGCACTTTAGATGACCCGGCAACCAGCTGACCGTTTTGAATCTTGATATGATCAAGAATGCTAGCCAAAATGTCGATCGCCAGAAGGTTAATTCTATAATACAATTATCAGGTGTACAATGTTACATTTGGTTTTATTTGATGAATCATTTAGCAGGTAGATCACTTTACTGATAAATCGATTAAACTGTTTTAGAGATAATGAATGTAGAGTTCATGTAGAACAAATGTAATATACACTTTCAACGCCATGGAATAACCATTACAATAAACAGAATAGTTTCCATTCTATCGGGCATATAAGGCATAATAACGGTGAAATTATATGAATTACATGATTGGTCTGTTGGTTTGTTGTTTAACGCAGCATTCATCAATATTCCAGCTATATGGCAGCGGTCTGTAAATAATCTGGACCAGACAATCCAGAGTATCGATGGCATGTGTCAACAAAAGTGAGCAGGCCTGACCACCCGATCCCGTTAGCCGCCTCTTACGACAAGCATGGGTTGTGAATTACATGAACTGATCGTTAAACACCGAATGTTTTACCTGCGATGGGCGCCCCAGCTAGACAGCCAATTCCGGCCATGAAGGAGAGTAACCCATAGCCTATCGCCAGCCTTTCCAAACTGAGAAGATCCGCCGTCAGTGGTGTCAACAGAGCGTTGATCCCACCACTGTACATCCCATACCCTGCAGCATACAGCACCTGGGTTCCGAATGTTGCAGAGTACAAAGGAAACGTAATGGAAAGTATTCCTGTCAATCCCATCAGCCCTGTGAGGAGCAGTTCCGTCCCTATATTTGGATCTGACGCTGCAAACCCTGTAAGGAGTCGTGAACAGAGACTCGCGGCGCCCATTGCGGTCATCAGAGTTGCAGACGCCATCTTGGACGTTCCTTGGTGCTGGACGTAATTTGGTAAGTGGTATATGGCTGCAGTTTCTCCACAGGAAAATGCAAAAGTACTGAATAGGTAACACAAAAATGGCCCATTTTTAACAATGACAGTGACGTCTTTGAGCGCAGAGGTAAACCTTGATAACCGATTTCTGACTTGATTGGAGTTGTCAGAATTTTTCTCTCAGGTCCCCTTCTGGATTTGTTCTTTTCAGTAGGTGAAGGCCTCATTAACATCCCAAGGACAAACATGTTAGCCCCTAGAGCTCCTAGTATCAGAAACATCCCTCTTAACATGTAGCGATCAATAAGGAGACGAAGAAGAGGAGGACCTACAAACATCCCAAAGGCGGAACCAGATACAGTTATGCCTGAGGCTATTGGGCGATACTTCTTGAAATAGTAGCCACTGATGACGATTGAGGTAGACAAACAAAAGCCCATTCCGATTCCTGAAAACACAGGAGGTTCCAATATGGAAACTGTTTTACAAAACATACATGTACAGGCGTTTGCGACAAGAAGGATCAAAGTAATATAATCAAATCAACATTAATACAGACGATTCCGTTCCCAGTGTACACAGAACAGAACAGGATTTTATTCTCAAAAAAACACAAAGAGTGATAAAGAGAACATACAGGTATATATAAATATAGATAAAATATTCACATATCATTTGAAGACGTACAAACAGTGTTTATATATTTGGATAATTTGAGGATGAGTGGTTGATAATCACCCTTCATGAGAAAAATATATTTACAGATTGAGGGATTCACGCAGAAATATTTAGTAAAAAGGTTTTCCGTTGTTCAATAAGGGAAGGACATATTAGTGAAAATGGAATTCGTCACATATAGCTTGATTACAAAGATTACAAAGTCGGTTTTCTTTCAAGATATTTAGCCAGCGCCCTGTTTCTATTGGAAACTGTCAGAATTTACAACCTTCCAGATTAAAGGATCGTCGGTAATCAGTAATTTCCTTTAATTGTGTATAGATGACTCAGTCAGCAAGCTTTCTTGATTTGATGAGTTAATGTTAAACACTGTATCAAAAGTTATGATTCAACGGGCTTTTCCTCACTGACTGGTAGCTCAATCTGTGCAGATTTTGATTGGCTGAACTAGGGAGACGCATAACTGGGATTGTGTATGCATCTACAAGCCTACTTGTATAGTTTGAATATCCCCGTGAATTTGAAAAATAATCAGTCCCTAAAAGTAGGGTGAGTACGTTAATTAGTATCAATATTGTAAGCTATAAAGGCAAAATCTTACCACCGAGGATGGAAAATGTTACCAAGAGGATAGATGCATTTGTTGCAAAATAGGAGCCAGTCAGTCCAGCCAGATGAAAGCATCCACCCAAGAAAATAGCCACTCGGCAGCCATATCTGTTTGTGATCCATCCAATGATTGGACCTGGGGACAGAATAGTTAAGACTGACTGATATGTTATTTAACGCCGCACTCAGCAATATTCCAGCTGTATGACGGCAGTCTGTAAATAATCGAGTTTGGACCAGACAATCCAGTGATCAACAGCATGAGCATCGATCTACGCAATTGGGATATGATGACATGTGTCAACTAAGTCAGCGAGCCTGACCACCCCATCCCGTTAGTTGCATCCTACGACAAGTATGGGTTCCTGAAGACCAATTCTAACTTTCACGGCTGGTAGTGTTGACAAGAGAAGATATTTGTAAACACATAAAATGTTGATTATTGTTGTCTTATAGCATTTGGAATCACTAAAAATGGTAATATATATGAAACGTAATTAATGACCCTTAAAATGCCGTTAAGATTGTTACGTGAGGGAACCCTACCGCCAACTTTTGTGATGTCGCAACAGGTTCAGTTCATCAAATTATACGCCTAACCCGTCTCAGTTGAATATTAAACTTTGAAAAGAAATTTGCATTTGAAAACCAAGAAGGCCGTCAAAATTCCCCGTTAAGGATGCATTTGATTATATTTTTTGGAGGGGTACATGAATGGGTTCATCGAAGCAAACATGAGTTACGAAATGTATCACGTAAAGAGGTGGAGGTGCTTATGAACAATGTCTATTTAATCACAATCATCCAGAACCAACCAGAAAGAGTCAAGGACGCTGAGTACATAGAGCTGACCCACGAGACTCTCGTGAGATCACTGTCAATCTCGTCCAGTAAGGCGGCCATTATTATTCCCAGCGAATACACATGCATCCCTGTAAGAAGCGACCCGCAGAAAGAAACGCCAAGAATCACCCAGGCCCAGCCCCTGTCGATGTCGGACCGGTGCATCCCTGCAATCAGTAAACAATACTACACAACACAGTATTTCAACTAGGAGTGAAACAACTATTACGATAGCGATAGTGTATTGCAACATGTACTACCCGTGAAGGTAGCAGGGGCAGATAACTCTAAATCAAAGTCATAGGCGGATCCAGAGGGGTTGCAGGGGTGCGCACCCCCTCTTTTGTGCAGAAAGTTTGTTAAATGACCATTGAAATTTGGGTGAAAATGAAGTGTGCACCCCTCCTTTTCTCAATAGTGTGCACACACACACACACCCTTTCTCAAACAGCTGTATCCGCCCCAGAAAGTGTACGAATCTGGTACTTCCTGTATTTTGCGCTGCGCATTTATCCACAGAAGTCAATTACTAAACTGTCGATGCATCGATAGTTTTTCGTTTCTTCCATCGATTAATTGCTACCGGAGACTCAACAATTGCAAACCATCGATATTTCGATGCATTGTTACAGCACTAGTTAATTTCAACCTTGAACTTTAGCCTGTACTTAATTTAACAGTATCAAAGGTTTCGCCATTAACCACACTTTTTACTTACACTTACAACCGAAAATATCAAGGAAAATGGCGGCTGTTTTGAACCACTAAAATAACGTTATCCGAGACAATTTTACACAATTTCTAGGCACAACATCAGGATTACATTAAACCGGTTACTGATCATGAGGCCATTTATATTTTTTTAAGTTGGTTTTCGAAAACGTGGACTCCAGATTCAATGTATGAGGTCGAAAATCATAAACAATTTAATTTCCTCCAAATGTAAAAGAGTTTTTTCGAAGTTCACAGTTGTTGATATAATTTCCAAATTTTCAAAAACTTCCAAGTCAGCCTTTTGTAGTATCTATCAAATATTGTACCTATAACATAAACGTATATCGAATTCAGTTATACCTCACATACAGAGTGCACTGGCCACTTAATATCCTTCATATTCCTACCTATCTGGCATTATCTATTTGAAACAACTCGTTTTTAACGCTTTCCTAGCTTTGGTATGTCCAAATGTCGCGCATGTTAATGCTTTTTTGTCCCCCGCCGCAACGCGGAACGGGGGACTATGTATTCAGCGGCATCCGTCCGTCCGTAGGTCCGTACGTACGTCCCAATTCTTGTTAACGCGATATCTCATGAACTGTTGTACCCAATGTCTTCACATTTTGTGACAGCCTACATTGGGTGATTACGCAGACACCAGTCGATTTGGGAGACCTTGACCTTATTTTCAAGGTCACCATGACACTTTGACCACTTTTCAAACTCTTGTTAACGCGAAATCTCATGAAATGTTGTACCCAATGTCTTCAAATTTGGTGACAGCCTACATTGGGGGATTACGCAGACACCAGTCGATTTGGGTGACCTTGACCTTATTTTCAAGGTCACCACGACACTGAACACTTTTCAAACTGTTGTTAACGTGATTTTTCATGGACTGTTGTACCCAATGTCTTCAAATTTTGTGACAGCCTACATTGGGGGATTCACAGACACCAGTTGATTTTAGGTGACCTTGACCTTATTTTCAAGGTCACCACGACACTTTTCACACTTTTAACTCTTGTTAACGCGATATCTCATGGACTGTTGTACCCAATGTCTTCAAATTTGGTGACAGTTTACATTGGGGTATTACACAGACACCAGTTTATTTGGGTGACCTTGACCTTATCTTCAAGGTCACCACGATACTTTGACCGCTTTTTAAAGGCGATATCTCATAAAACATTGCACCCAATGTTTTCAAGTATGTTGACAGCCTACATTGGTTGATTATGCAGACACCAGTCATTTTAGGCATCTTGTATGTGACCCAAAAAACAAAAGTAGTAAATATAGATATTCCATTCTTTAGCGGCGGGGGACATTGCCATATCAGTGGCAAACACTTGTTTTATTTCATTTTAGATGGGGTACATTGCGACAAATGGCCAACGTGTCGCGTTATCGTGTTGCTGCATAATCACGCTTTGGTTAATCTTGACACTTTTAGTGGTTTTTATAAGGGAGACAACACGACAATGTCCCTTCTGAGATTCCATACAATAGAGAGTATAATAATTGAACCCAGACCTGCCTTATGTCTACACGTAAAGAATGCGTCTTAACTGTCTGCGTACCACAGCAACATATCCAGTGCTTTTACCCTACTTCCACCTCACCGACTACAACACTATCACGGTAACCAGCGAGGTGGATACACTCAGCACTCGATATACCTGTGTGGTGTGTGGCAACACAGGGCATTTAGAGTGTGATTTAGTACGTCCATTGTGCAGCTGATTAACCCGGATTATGTACTCGGTAGTTGTTACATGTTAACTATCATACGAGCCATGTAGGTAATGATATACTTCTAACGCTACGACTGGCCCCGAGAACGGCCATAGATAAAACTGGCGATAAGATCGGTTTGATTGTAAGCCGCGTTCTAGGACAGATTGGATTGCATATTAGATTGTTATTTCAATACATATGTCTTTCAGTAGTGCTTCTTGTGAAACATATGTAGATTTTTTTTCATTGGTGCTTATCGCGAAACAGAGTAGGGAGTACATTTCATTTCATTATTGTTAATTTAAAACTTGAATTTTTTACTAAGTTTTGTTATTGTTTAGAACAGAACAGAATGACGGGTAACGTGAATTTTCAACTCTAGTAAATGGGGAAATAGATGTTTGAAACGGAATTACATGTAACATCTGTCATTATAAACCGTGTAATAAATATATGTTTGAAAAAATAAGGTCCCCATGTCGGTAACTCAATACACCTGCTTTCATTTATAAAAAATCATGATAACAACGGCACGATGGCATTCAATCAACTGCTGGGTTGACCCGCCGAAGAAGGTTACACACGTACTGTATTGACATGTCAACAGTTCAAGCGAGCAAGATAAAGATAATTCATTACCACAAACCTTATTCATAAGAATTATTTTTCAAATACTAGAATACTGAAATAATTTTACACGTACAATAGGATGGTACATTTAAAGTAATTATGATTTGTAATAAAATATACCGTACAAGATTATGAGAATCTTGAACGACCGGCCCACGGATAATCTCGCGAGCGGATTTGCGTGACGTTGCGAGGTGACGTCACAATAGGAACAATAGATAGATGGCGGATTAGCTCTCGTTGGGTCGCTAAGCTCTTCGAGTTTGATTACTTCACGCGTGTTTTGTATTCAATGGCAAAATGTAACGTAGCGGCGATTTTCCCAGGGTTTCATGCTAAGGTGGCAGCCAGGACGGACAGAACACTAAGATGGAAGCTCTGTCCGACAGGAGAAGGCGTCTGTATGGACTGGACCGTTCTGTAGCCAGACAAGCGATAGTACAAACTCTCACTAAGAGTCACGTTCTTCAAGATGGAGAATATAACTACACAAACGAATCTCTTAAGGACGGGATCTGGCAAACAAGCGCTAAGCGAGATTTTCCGGTGAGAACTGCGATATTTTTTATTATTATTATTTTTAATTACGGTTTGGACAGATATGTACTTTTTCGGTCAATTTCATGGAACATGGTTCAATGTAATAATGAGGAGCTATTTTTGTAACCCCTGATTTTCCCTTTGATCTCCGTAATAAAATAAGCTCTCTTCTGGTGAAAACGATATATTTATTACATTCTGGCCATCACTACATACTATATTGAAAAGTTGATTTATGTAATAGTAATAGTCCGCTTATATGGTATGGCGCTCATATCCAGGCCCAATGCCTGCTCACGGCGCTACGTACATTACTATCCCCGGTCATAGGACACTATCGTACTTTTCGATACCTTTTCAACTCCCTTGGGATTATACAGCCATGATGTCCGTTAGGCGCAATGAACTAAACACTCACATTTCCAGCACATCCTCACGGGTACCCATTTTACAGCTGGGTGAACTGAGACAACGTGGATCTAAGTATCTTGTCCAAGGATACTACGTAAATGTGTAAATTGGCACCTCATTGACTATACCTCAAAAATGACAAATTGTGTTTTATATATACGTATATACTGTTGTAAACGACAAACCGAACTGTATATATACAAACATGAGAAATATGAAAATAAAGAAAATAAATAAGTTGATATAAAATATACTTTGATACGGGGACACATTCTACTCCATGTATTGTTTTGAATATTTACGTATTTATTGCGGTATTCTTTCTTTGTGAGAACGTGCTGTCTCACGGTAATTTTTGTCTTTAAAAATAGATTAATTCAGGATAATAATGACATCAGGATTGCTAGCGTTCCAAGGTTTATTCAGATGCAGAGTGACTTATCAACATTCAATAAAACATTTCAATTCAATATATGAAAATATCAAATAATCATAAATATTACAATGAACATATTATTTCCATCTTCATAACTATTAAGCTGAGCAGAACATCAACATGTTTTGAACATTATATTTAATAAAATATTTCAATTCAAATATATAGTGGAATCTGTCTATTACGGACTGGCTGGGACCGAGTCATTTGTCCGGATTATAAAGCAGTCCTGATTGGTAAACTTTTGTCCGTTACCGTAGATACTGCCATAACGAGTTACCGTATATTACTATAGACAAGCCGAATTTTGAGGACTAAAAAGTGCAGTCTGTAGAATGGGGTCGGCTTATCTATGGGTTACACTTTCGTCAAATTTTTTTCAAGGGGTAAGAAAACGAGATCGTATATACAAATATATATGAACATATCAAATAATGATAAGGTACAGTATTAGAGATAACTGATATGAACATATTGTACTCATATATATATGACATTATACTTATCAAATCATCAACGTATGTTGGACATTATATTTTTTTGTAAAGATGGTTCATTACTGGAACATGTTTTTAAGTTCAGAGAACGGCACACGATAACACATTAGATTCCTATTGGTAACATCAGCTTAAGATAATGAAACATTAACATGTCCACGTATTCTAGATGTTTTACGGTAGTGCCTTTACGCATTACCGTACTCCCAAAGAAAACATCTTATAGGCCTGAATCTACACAATAGTTTTAAATAGGTAATGTAATAAACGAACAAAGACAAGACGCATGAAAATGTCTTACCTTAAAATAAAATAGATGAATTCAGGATAATGTCATCAGAGTTGCTTGCGTTCCAAGGGGTTTTTTTCAGATGCAGAGTGACTTGACAGTCAAACTGCACCTGCTTATATATCGGAGGATCGCATAGCACTTGTAAGTTATTGTCAGCATTATCCCTTTGTTATTTCATGGGTCGTTCCTGGTTAATACAATATTCTCATACGTTGCCTAACGTATGTCTGCCAATAACCGGATGGTGGTAAAAAACACACAAAGGCTACTGTTTCATTTAGCCAGAAGCATTTCAGATTGACCGCTAACTTGTTTGTGGGGATTATTATCATTAATTGGTCAGCGTGTCAATCTGGATGTGACATACAGCCGGTAACTGTAGTGTAACAGTCAGGTATTGTCACATCAGTATGTATATGTCTGGCGGCATGTTCTTAAGCGAGTTACTCTCATCTGTGTAAAGAGAATCACAATATGGGTACATTTTGTGAATTCTTATAAATTTCAAATATCATAGTCAATATATGTTTTATGTGAATATTAATGAAATATTTGCACTATAACATTTGTATTATTTGTAATGTATGTATATTATATATAGATCATCAAAGATCACCTCTAGAACCAGAATATAAAGCTTATATTAGCGTTCGAACCCGTTTAACACAAAGATGCACGCATGAATGCACCGGTAGGCCTACTTACTTATTAACCGAACACCTGCCATCCAGGCTGTTGCATATACCATAAATGGATATCGGCATGAATCTATGTTACATGAAATTCATCCGCGCGCGCGCAGATAATCCTTGGTAAACGAAGATGCACAAATGATTACTGCGCGCGTGTGTGTGTCGTTGTGCGCGCGTGTGTTTTACTTGTCCGGACCAACTGCGTCTCCTAGTGACAGACCACTGAGATCCTATCGCAGTTATCTGGTCTGTATTGGTCTGACTCAGTCGGGACGAGTACCGTCGACCGAGGTGAAAACATGTGTTGGAATGTAGGTATTAACAGGGTGCCGTTGTACAAAGCGATCTCAGGGCTAAGGAGATCGTAATTCCCATACCTTAACATAGACTTACGACTGCCGTAGCACCAAGGGTGCCGTTGTACAAAGCGATCTTAATGCTAAGGTGATCGTAACTCCCATACCCTAACATAGACTTACGACTGCCGTAGCACTCAGGGTGCCGTTGTACAAAGCGATCTTAGGGCTAAGGAGATCGTAACTCCCATACCCTAACATAGACTTACGACTGCCGTAGCACCCAGGGTGCCCTTATAAGCCGATGTTAGTGCTTAGGTGACCGTAACTCCCATACCTTAACATAGACTTAAGGTAGTCTTAGCGCTAAGGTTGTTTGAACCTTGGCACCCAGGGCCTAGATTTTCGAAGCTCTCTTAGCGCTAAGATAGTCGTAAGTGCCATACATTAACATTAACTTACGACTATCTTAGCGCTAAGAGAGCTTCGAAAATCTAGGCCCAGGTCTACAGAAACCCTTCATCTTGTTATTCCACAAATAACATATGCCTCACATTGTAGGAAATGTATATGTGCCTGTTTTTGCAGACTGTTGTAAGGTGCCGAAAGAAGCCCTACAGTTATTTCATCATTTAGAATACGAAACGTAATACACGTATGGCTATAAATAATTCAAATATTTCAAATAGTAATTGAACACCCTTTTAACTGAGCACACTAAACATCCCCAAATCCCAACCCTCCGGAGCCCCATCGATGACCTTTAAATTCAACGGTTGCTCCCGAACTAATGGATAGTGACATGAAATATGACACACTCACTCACCCATGCTATCTATGCCTTCAGAATGGCCACGTCGTAAACCAAGCAATAAAATCGAAAAAGACCAACTGCAACATTAAGCAAACAAGCGCCATTCCTAGTGATAACACTTGACACAAAGCTAGCAGCTAAGTGACAACCTCCTCTATCACAGGACACTGTGATCATGCAATGCTCAGACAGCGGCTGTGTTGACACCTAGAAATGTGTGTCAACCGAGAGTAAGGGTACACATACCTTCTTCTATAGACAGGCCCCAGTTAACACAAGACTGCACCACCTTTCCCCATTCAAGACAAGGTGTTTCAATGGACGCTCTCTTTATATCAACAGGAAGTGATGTCAAGCTGCAAGCGAAGCTTCAAAGGTTGTTTTGACATGCCATGTTATATCATGACACATCACGTGTTCTACTTCACTTAGAGACTGGATGACAATGTTTAATATCGAATTACATGGTTGTACGTATATAAACTGGTTGGTAAAAATGAATATTATTTCGTTCGAAGGCTTGGAATTGTCACTGCTTTCCAATGATTGCTTTATCGATCATACTACGTCAGTAATAATTAATATAGTCGTTCGCATGAATGGCTGAGCATTTCGAACCAACGTGTTTTTACTTCGTTTACGCTCACAATGAAACTGTGTTCATGATTTGTGATATGGTTACCTCGAATTGTCATTGTGTTTGATTCAAACGGTTCCCTTCCCTTATGGCGAATCCCATTATGCTTAGCGGTGATCACTGAACCCTAACGACTGGTTATTGAAATACTAGACATAAAGGGAAGTACTTTTTGCAATTGTTTACTATGTCGTTTAACGCCAAACTCAGCAATATTACAGCTGTAGTTGGTGGACTGTAAATAATCCAGTCGGAATCTGCAAAATAGTGATTGACGCTATGAGCATTGTAACATATGTTATACTTGAGATTACACTTTCTTAGTAAAGTACAGATTCTAGTACCTTTTGGGTTGAGTCCCATCCGGGATTCGAACCCACACCCTCAGAGTCAGGCACCTAATGGCCAGCACACAAAGTCAGACGCCTAAACCGCTCAGCCACCGCGGCTTCCACATATGAGCATTGATCGTCGCAAATGGGACACGTTGCCATCCTCACAGGTCAATCAAGTCATCGAGTCGTACAGGTTACTGAGGACCAGTTGTAACTCGGATGTTAGTATCGGATATTGTATTAATGGTAAGACACCTTTTAAACGTATAGACCGCCTCCGTGGTGTAGTGGTTAGAGCGTCCGCCCGGAGAGCGGAAGGTCGCGGGTTCGACCGCGTCATACCAAAAGACGTTAAAATATGGTACTTGTTGGTCCCTGCCTGGCGCTCGGCATTAATGGGTACAACAGGGACTGGTCGGCTCGGAGTCAGTATAATGTGTCTGAGTGGGGTATTCATGCTTCACTGCGGCATGGTATCTCAGTGGGCTAGCACTATAAAACCAGCTTACGTCTGGGCTAGTACAAGCAGCCGCACATACACATACACACGCACGCACGTCGTCATATGAGCGAAATATTCTCAAGCACGACGTTAAACCCAATTTCTCACCTCACCTTTAAACGTATACTTCTTTTGTTCACAGGGCACCGAGTTAGACCGCGATCATGTTGCAGCCGGGGTTGGCCAGGTGAGCTATTCAATAAATATATATTAAAGGGGATTTCTCAAGAGGTGAACGTGTTCAGCCAAATGCCACTCTGAAGTCATCTTACGTAATGGAGAAAATCCGAGAGACGTAGATGGTTACCATGGCAACGTTATGGTCATGGGAGAAAAGCAATGTTAGGGTCGGAATTTGTATTCGAATATGCGATCACGGCTCCTGAGATCTGATGGAAGTAACTTGAAGTCTATTGTGACCCACTTTCGACTCAAATATGCACAACTGCAATTAAATTACGATTCATAATTTAAGACTGACTGACTGAGTTTTGGTTTTACGCCGCTTTTAGCAATATTCAAGCAACATCACGGCGGGAGACACCAGAAATGGGCTTCACACATTGTACCCATGTGGGGATTCGAACCCGGGTCTTCGGCGTGACGAACCAACGCTTTAACCACTAGGCTACCCCACCGCCCCCATAATTTAAGAGATGTGGGCTAGCCTGTTATGTGTCTGGAGGGGCGGTGGGGTAGCCTAGTGGTTAAAGCGTTGGTTCATCACGCCGAAGACCCGGGTTCGATTCCCCACACGGGTACCATGTGTGAAGCCCATTTCTGGTGTGGCCGTGATATTGCTGGAATATTGCTAAAAGCGCCGTAAAACTAAACCCACTCACTATTATGTCTGGACGGTTGGTCTAAGTGGCGTTATAATACTTAAAATCACATCGCACTGAATTCAAAGACAAAGTTCTGGTGCTGTTTCAGCTCGATCATCACTTCCGCTTTGGCAATGACTCGGGATCGCACCTTCCGACTCAAACCTACCAAGGCAGCACCACCAAAGACGACTTCGACTCCAAGTCGTTCTCGAAGGTATGGCAATGATTATTTAAACCATTACAGTGAACGCTCATGCTATTACGCAGGGAAAGTTTTTATGCAACGTGTATAGAGATTACTACACGATTGTCTGTCATGTATTTTACGACTTATTTAAAAAAGTATTAAAAAAATTCGAAACATCGCGTTGTAAGATAAATAAATCATGGTATCTGAGATCCATGAGCGTAGTAATATGTTTCTTACACACCTTGAAACATTTTAGCATCTTCGTGTATATTGTCTAGTTTGTTGATCACAGTGGCGCATTAATACATAACACAACGGACATTTGTGACGTCATCCGGGCTACTCATAACTAATGCTCATACGAGGGGCTATCCTAAAGTTTTGAGCCTAAAATACTTCTGATATGTGCATGATAAAAATAACTGTATGATATTGAGGTATGATTTATACCATTCACAGAATCGTAATATTGACATGCTCATGTCGCTAGTTTCCGGTCACGTGACATCTAATCACATGTACCCCTATTGAAACGGCAGTAATGGATAAGCTTGAGTACAGAGCAGTCACAAAGTTTTTGGTCCTCGAGGGCCACCCGACGAAGCACATTGAAGACCGACTGACAGCAGTACGAGTACCCCATGAGACCCAAGCTTATCCATTTCTATTTCTACAATATGAAAAAAGCATAGAGAGAGAAATAAAGACATGCCAAAATATAGAGAAAAGTAAAAGCCATTCTTGCTACTATAAGCCAGAATGAGGCGACTGCAGAAGTTGTTTTGTAGTCATGCAGTTCATGTTCCAGTTTCTAAGTTTTATAAGTTCATACGTCGAAAGTTCTTCGAAAATTCTGCTTTGTTCCTTGCTTATGCTAGTATCACTTATGCCCATTAAAGTTGTTGACAGATAATGTCCATTAAGATTGTTGACAGATAATTCACGTGACAGTGGTATTTTGATCAGGGCCTCTGTGTCAGATGTTCATGATCATGACAATCATAAGTTGTTGGTTTCATTAATTAGTTGTCAATTAAAAACCCACCCAGTTCTTAATAGAAGCATTTAAGAGTTGCACCTTTCGTAATTTGTGTTGTTTATTTGTATCAAAATTAATGAAAAATTGTAATTTGCGTCACTCCAAAAAAATAAAAAAGAATGAGTTGTTATACAGATGACTGTTGAGATCAAATATGAAACGAAGCAATTTTGTTTTAGCACTATCATTGAGAAAGCGTATCATTATTTATGACATTTCCCTTCATACCTAGTATAAAAAGATCTGAAATAATAAAATACACGCCCAGATGTTAATATTGCTTTTCCACACAAATGGCAGCGAAACTGTCTATCCTATTCTGCTGTATTTGAAAATATCAATGTACGACTTGGGTGTCGTCACGTTAATTTCATTGTAACTTCAGGGTATACTAGTATACAGAGCTGTTGCAGGGTAATTGTTTGTGTCTGAGTGCTGAATATTTAGAAACAGATTCTCTAATGCTTGTGCTTCATGAAAAGTAATGCAATTTACTGAACATCAAACATTTTTCCCCGCGAGTTTCCACTGGCAATTGTACATTTTAACTCGCGTAATTATTTTCAACAGCGGTCTTCTATTAACTTTGATTCCAGGATCTGATACAAAACTGGAATAAGAATTTACCACAAGAAATAATTGTTGTCCTATTGCTCTGATTAATTCAGTGGCATCCCCGCCTCAAATTCCTGTCACGTACATCGAAGCTGCGGGAGTACGTATACGGCTTTACCGCTATGGTAACGTATAACTGGCAAATGCGATTTACTGACCCTTATGTCAAAGGTTTAGTTCAAATAACACAATATAAAATTGCACTTGTTTAGTTTTACATGTTACAATCTATCTAAGCTGGTCCGAACCGTGCTTACCTGCTGTTAGTTTAAACGTATTTTATTCACAATGTGAAAAGGATCGGGGACAAGTTCTTTCAACTTATTAAACCCTAGGCCTCTCCGGGGTTGCTACGGTCATGGCCACGCAGCCTATAAATTCAACAATTTAGTTCAGCTAAATGCATAAATGAATTATAATCTCATAAATGGTATAGATAAATATTTGCTTTTTCTACGGATTCCCTGTCTACTACCTTGGTTTAATGTGTTACCCCTTGGGCAATTGTGATATGCGCACACTTGTACTTTTGATTATAAAATATATCACAATATTCATGTTCACGTTATTTGAGCAGGCAAATGACCGGCTGATGACCCGGTAAGCTAGCTCCTGACGAAGTTCGGCAGCTACGCTTGGTCAGCTGAGTAAAGTGAAGAAACTACATACTCTGTGTTGTCGTACTTCCAAACGTGGGATATACTCCTGTGGTTTCAGACGAGCATAGCGTATAACAAATACACGATACAAGTGGGGCGATGTGCGCTGAGTGGACGAGAAGCAGGATGAGAAGCAAGTATGTAACGCTTAAAACATAAGCCTTAGGTGATAGACGTTCATAGCGCATATCACATATGCCCAAGGTATCGGACCAGCATAGCACTTAACACATACACCATATGTTTGAAAGGAATATACCTATACACCATCATAATAATAATAATGGCACTTATATTGCGCTATATCCACGCCATGAAGGTATGCTCAAAGCGCATTGCCTCAAACGATGGAAACAGAGGCAGTTGAGTTCTCCACAATGGTATGAGTTATGTATCTTTTACGTATAGTGCTTGAAAAGGTAGGATTTAAGACTGGATTTAAAAGTTTCAAGAGATGGAATCAACTTCAGTGATTCGGGTAGAGAGTTCCACAGAGTAGCGGCTGAGACAGAAAAGGATCTGGAGCCGAAAGTTTTAAGTTTGGTGACAGGCACCCGAAGGAGCTGTTGTTGGCTAGAGCGTAGAGTTCTTGAAGGGAGGTATGAGACAGTCAGATCACTCAGATAGGCAGGTCCAGTACCATGGACAGCTTGGTAAGTGAGTGAGAGAATTTTGAAAATGATTCGCTCAGGAATGCGAAGCCAGTGAAGCGAGTTTAGCACTGGTGTGATGTGTGCCTTTATGTTCGTCCGAGTGACCAATCTGGCAGCATAGTTTTGGATGTGCTGCAGACGTCTGATTTGTTGTTTGGTGATTCCATAGAGCAAACTGTTGCAATAGTCTAATCGAGAGAATATCAGAGATCTCACGAGGGAGGCAGCTGCGTCTCTCGTCAGCAAATGTCTGATGGCACTGATGTTCCTCAGGTGGTAATGACTGACCTTGCAGCAGTGGCTCACGTGATCTTCCATGGATAGCGAGGAGTCAAGGTACACACCGAGGTTCTTGACAGATGACTTGAAGGTGATGTCAGCTGACCCGATAGACAGATGATCCAAAGTACATTTCCGTAACCTGGATGGAGGTCCAAACAAAATCACCTCCGTTTTGTCTGAATTGAGTTTCAGCTTGTTCTTTTCCATCCATGTACTGACATCAGCAATGCACTGTTGCATTGCATGTTTTGCTTCAGATTGACTGATGGGTGTTGGCTTAAAGCTGTTCTGTACTTGCGAGTCATCTGCATAGAAGTAATGAGGTATATGATGTTCTTCAATACACTGACCTAGAGGTGTTGTATAAAGGGTAAAAAGTATTGGCCCCAACACTGATCCTTGTGGTACTCCACAGAATAATCTGGCTGGAGTGGACATCTCATCACCAATTAGGACTGTCTGTGACCTGTTTGTGAGGTACGACTCAAACCACTGAAGCGGTATCCCTGTGATGCCGAAGGTATTTTCGAGACGATGCAATATTATGCTATGATCTATGGTATCAAAGGCGGATGACAAGTCTAGCAATACCAGCATAGCAATATCCCCTCTGTCAACAGACATGTGCACACTATTCATCACACAGTTTAATGCTGTTTCCGTACTGTTGGCCTGTCTATAAGCTGACTGATACATGTGAAGTAGATCATTTGAGGTCAGGTGGTACAGCAACTGTCTCTTAACTATTTTCTCTAGGATCTTGGATATGAACGATAGGTTGGAGACTGGCCTATAGTTCTTGAGTAGCTGCGGATTTAAATTTGGCTTCTTCAGAAGGGGTTTGACAATGGCTTTTTTAAAATAATCCGGCACAACACCCGTGGATATACTGACATTGATTATATCTGTGATGGTGGGTAGGAGAACGTCCAGGATCTTCAACATGAACTTGGTGGGTAGTGGATCTAGGCTGCACGATGTTGGTTTGGCCTCGAGGATGGTTTTACGGACTTCATTTTCTGTTACAACCCGGAATGAACTAAACTTGGTGCCCGTGTATTGAGGAGATGGTTCGTTGTCCATATCAGAATCAAACTGTTGGCGGATGTTGCTGATCTTGTCCAGAAAGTAGCTGTTAAATTCTGATGCTAGGTGAGCATCTCCACCATGAGGAAGTGCTGCAATTGACTGTTTCCCGAGTAAACCGTGTAGGATAGAAAACATCTTCTGTGGATTATTAGAACTGCCTGTGAGTTCAGCATTGATATATTCAGCTTTGGCTGTACGCATGAGATTGTTCACAGAGTGCCTGCAAGCATTGAAGATCTGTCTGTGAATCTCCAGCTGCGACTTCCTCCACTGCCGTTCTGCAGCTCTCCGAGTGCTTTTGGCTTCTCTGATCTCTGCCGTGTGCCATGGAGATGTTGTTCTTGGTCTACGAACTCTGGTCCTGACAGGAGCATGTTGCGTATACCATAGGTGTGAGGCGAATATACCGCGTTACATACACACCATATGCGTATACCATAGGTGTGAGGCGAATAAACCGCGTTACATATACAGCATGTGTGTATACCTAGGTGTAAGGCGACCATAGCGTTCAACACATAGGCCTCAGCAAACGCCTGTGAGGTGGATTTACCGAGCATGTATAATTTCATGGCTAATTATTAAATCCTCGTCTGTCTTCAGCCGGCGGTACTTGCGGCGGATCGCACCATCAACTGGCCCGTAAGTATATTCTAGTAATTCTTTCAATAATAAGGATACTGGCTGCAAGAAAATGTCACCTTCTGATCAGGTAGATATATTCATGTATTTTCACTATCGTGACGGTAGACACCACGTTATGCTTGTCCTTATGCCTACAGACGGGTTACAATATTGATCTTCAGTTACTCATGCCTGTCGTAAGAGGCGACTAACGGGATCGGGTGGTCAGACTCGCTGACTTGGTTGACACATGTCGTCGTATCTCAATTGCGTAGATCGATGCTCATGCTGTTGATCACTGGATTGTCTGGTCCAGACTCGATTATTTACAGGCCGCCGCCATATAGCTGGAATATTGCTGAGTGCGGCGTAAAACTAAACTCCATCACTCACTATGCCTACATCCAGTCTTCTGATTCTGTCTGCAGGACATGGCGCCCCGATACGCCCCAGAGCGCTCCATCGGCCAGTCGGAGTACAAAAACACCTTCATGATGGCGGTAAGTTGAGTCAACTCATTGATTCCATAAAAACAGTAGGAATTCCTAGTGCCAAAGCTTCTTAAAGGTGGCCCAGTCGTCCAAGGCGCCATCATTCGATGTACAGAGTTGCGTCCCTTGGCCGTGCCAGAAACGAATGGTCGCGCGTTCCAATCCCAGTGCGCCCCGATCATGTTCCTGAGGTCATGGACTTCATCAAATTGTTAAACCAGCCTCACTTCGAGATTTCCTCCCATTTTAAGCCAACATGCCCTGGTATAACTCGAATACTGATCAAAGCGGCGTTAAACCAAACTTACTCACTCACTTCAGCCGTTTACGTGTTTGCAAACATCAGTCAGAATATCGTATCAACGACTTGCGAAAGTTTCGACTTTCTTCTGACAGTGTGATGATGCGTTGTGATATAACTGTTTCAGTAATTCCACGCTTCCCGTTTAACTCAATCACTGACTGAATTTTCTAGGGTCGAGCGGCCACCGCCCCAGTGTTCCCCAAGGTGAACACCTGCAAGATGAAGCTCCCGCTGGACCCCGCCAAGTTCTACCTGCAGAGGGACAGCCACTTCGACTTCGGCCACGACGAGTCCAGGTTGGTTGTTATACACCGACCCTGAACAAAATCACATATGCACTGCCTAGATCTTGAGAGAATGTTACATACCTGTAATCTCCTTGCAGTGGCGTGAGCGAGCACATGCGAATGTACGGGCGGTCAAAGCAGGATGACCTGTCGGGCAAGCTGGCCAGTACGGGGGACGCCATGAAGATCAAGCGTCATATGAAGGACATGGAGCTGACTTCCAACGTCTTCCGAGGCGGCGACTACAACGGCGTAGGTGAGTTGACGTGTTTGTCAAGGTGATGTATACAACGGCGTAGGTGAGTTGACGGGTTTGTGTAGACGGTGACTACAACGGCGTGGGTGTATTGACGGGTTTGTGTAGACGGTGACTACAACGGCGTAAGTGAGTTGACGGGTTTGTTTAGACGGTGACTACAACGGCGTGGGTGAGTTGACGGGTTTGTGTAGACGGTGACTACAACGGCGTGGGAGAGTTGACGGGTTCGCGTAGGTGAGTTGATGGGATTGTCTAGGCGGTGACTACGACGGCATAGGCGAGTTGACGGTTTGTGTTGGGGATGACTACAACGGCGAAGGTTAGTTGACGTGTATGTGTAGACGGTGACTACAACGGCGTAGGTGAATTGACAGGTTTGTGTAGGCTGTGACTACAACGGCGTAGATGTGTTGACAGATCTCGGGCGACAATTACAACAATTATCTGAGGTGACAGATCTCTCCGGCATATACTTGATTCCCTCGGCAGAAAGGTATATGTACCGGGCTGATACAGACGGGAAAGAGTGGCAATGTCAGTTAACCTGGCCCTAACGTTGGCTTAGCATCATTTTGTTCCTAAGCCAATGTTCACACAAAATCTAATCCAACTGACCCCCAAATTAGACTCATTCCAGTTGAAAACACAGGTCTGAAAAACAGTGTCTCTTCCCACATCTGTGGATTGCTACGCAATGCTTTATTGTCTCATACTTCTGTCCATATTATCATTACCATGGTGATACTGACGATGATGTTGATGATGTTGTTGTAGCTGCTCACAACTACGAGACAACCGCCACTGGTGACTATGGCCCTCGAACAAGACCCCCAGCGGAGATCATTGCCCTCCAGCTCAGTCAGGATAAACCGTGAGTATACCCAACCCGTCACTACAAACGGTAATGTTCAACTGAAGAGGGAAGCGCCATCCATATAGATATTATATTGATGTGTGTAGGGTTAAAGAACAAACAAAGGCTAAGACGGGCAGACAAACACAATGCCAATTACGTCATCAAACAGAGAATCTCACCTTAATTCCTTTGATATCAAATATATCAGTAGGGGTAAATGACAGTTTAAACTTTTTTTTCTACAGTGCAATCTGTCACCAAACGAGACATCTTCAGGAGAAACCTTTTTTTATGATAAAAATCAAAAAGTGTTAATGTTAATATCCATCTGTTTGGAATGCGAAAATCTTAATTTTATCATCCGTATGTTACGAATGCAAAATTCTTGATGTTATCATCCATCTGTTACAAATGCGACATTCTTTACGTTATCATCCATATGTTACGAATGCGAAATTCTTTATGTTATGTTATCATCGGTCTGTTACAAGTGCGAAATTCTTGATGTTATCATACATCTGATACGAATGCGACATTCTTTACGTTATCATCCATCTGTTACGAATGCGACATTCTTTACGTTATCATCCATCTGATACGAATGCGAAATTCTTGATGTTATCATCCATCTGTTACGAATGCGAAATTCTTTACATTATCATCGGTCTGTTACGAATGCGAAATTCTTTACGTTATCATCCATCTGTTACGAATGCGAAATTCTTTATGTTATGTTATCATCGGTCTGTTACAAGTGCGAAATTCTTTACATTATCATCGGTCTGTTACGAATGCGAAATTCTTGATGTTATCATCCATCTGTTACGAATGCGACATTCTTTACGTAATCATCCATCTGTTACGAATGCGAAATTCTTTATGTTATGTAATCATCGGTCTGTTACAAGTGCGAAATTCTTTACGTTATCATCCATATGTTACGAATGCGAAATTCTTTATGATATGTTATCATCGATCTGTGCAAGTACGAAATTCTTTACATTATCATCGGTCTGTTACGAATGCGAAATTCTTTACGTTATCATCAATCTGTTACGAATGCGAAATTCTTTATGTTGTGTTATCATCCGTCTGTTACAAGTGCGTAATTCTTTACATTATCATCGGTCTGTTACGAATGCGAAATTCTTGATGTTATCATCCATCTGTTACGAATGCGACATTCTTTACGTTATCATCCATCTGTTACTAATGCGAAATTCTTTATGTTATGTAATCATCGGTCTGTTACAAGTGCGAAATTCTTTACGTTATCATCCATATGTTACGAATGCGAAATTCTTCATGTTATGTTATCATCGGTCTGTTACAAGTGCGAAATTCTTTACGTTATCATCCGTCTGTTACGAATGCGAAATTCCTTACGTTATCATCAGTCTGTTACGAATGCGAAATTCTTCATGTTATAATCCGTCAGTTACGACTGCAATGACTATGTACCTGGCTGTTGTAGGCGAGATGGAGGAGCGACTGAGAACATCCCCAACGAGCTGACGACATATGCCAGACAACATACAGTTCCAGCCGTGTTCAAAGGTAGGACTCAAGCAGAAGTAAACTCCCACCAAACGTTGCTGTTTGATATGTAAACACAATCAGATACGGTCAGAGCCAAAATCATTTGACGCCGCACTCAACAATATTCCAGCTATATGGAGGCGGTCTGTAAATAATCGAGTCTGAGCCAGATAATCCAGCGATCAACATTATGAGCATCTATCTACGCAGTTGGGTTACGATGACATGTGTCAACCAAGTCAGGGAACCTGACCACCCGATCCCGTTAGTTGCCACTTAGGACAAGCATGGGTTGCAGAAGACCAATTTTGACCCGGAACTTCACGTGTCTAAGATCATTTGAGAGGACGAGCAGAATGCTGAAACACATTTTATCAATTATTCTTAGGTAATGGTGGTTAATTTTAAACAGTTATTACCAGCTGATATCCCATTGTTTCAGATGCACTGGATGGGAGGAACTATCAAACATCGGCTCATTTCAAGGTCAGCGCACATTGTTTCCCATCCCAGTGCTCTCGCCTTTGGCTTTATGTCGTTTCGTTTCTATAATCTGTTGGCTCTCAAGGTGATTCCGAAATTTTGTTTCAAAAACGTTTGGAAACATCGAAAACTAGCAACGACATCACATTTTGTTTAATGGTAGCATTAATTTATGACTACGGTTATAGGAATTACTAATTTGAGTTCGTTATAACCGTAGTTCTTTATACGGATTTCGACTAAAATATACAGTAAATGTCTGGCAAAAACCCAGTTCGTTATATCCCTCAGTTAGATATTTTAGATTTAAACATAATTTATTCAGCGAAGAAAGGGATTAGGAACAAGTTATCCAACTTAGGTAACCATCTCCCGTGTGCGTTATAAACGTATTTTACTGTACATAGTTTACAAATACAAATACAGTGTGGACAAATAAATTTAGAAAAACATGTGTTTACAGTTTGGCTCCGACACCGACACAGTCGCCTCCATCTACGGCAAAGACTTTGCTCCGGGTGGAATGGTGCCTAGGAGCAAGCCAATGTTCTATGAACCTCCATCGGCTGGCAATGTAAGTCTCCCCTTCACGTTACTTATCATTGTGCTGTTGGGTACGTTTTATGTCAGTAAATCGCGGTGCGTCAGATATGGCTGGAAAGACGAAAGTGACACGAAAATAGATGTTGACCACTTTAGTGAAAGTCGCCAGATTTTTGCTGATAGACAAAAGCCCGTGATCGGAACTCGCCGGCAGCCGATCTCGATCCTGACATAGATTTTCAATGATTATATCAGGATGGATTTGGGTTATTGACCCACGGTCCTTTACAAGTACTTGGTTATACCTACTTGAGTTGTCAGTCAAGACGTGATGAGGTAATTTTACGACGATGTCGTATTGGCCACAGTCGTTTCACTCATGACTATCTGCTGATGGATGGCGATGGCCCTCCTATGTGTATCTCTTGCAACGAAGTGTTCACCATCAAACATATTCTGCTTGACTGTGTGGACTTTTCAAATGCAAGGGATTCTCATTATGAAACGATAAATCTGAAAGATCTGTTTTCCCGCGCGAGCGGGCATCTCACTGTGAACTACGATTTGAGAGAGATTGATCTGTATCATAAACTCACGGGTGAAAGAAACGTCACCTCGCTTTTTTAACATGTCACAAAACAACAAATTCAGATTTTGGAAATTTAACAATCATATGTGGAAAATTAATGGATTTACAACATTCTGAATGATGGAAGTGTGAACTACAGATATGAGAAATCACTTAGTGTACGATAAAAGATAAACAAATCATTTTGATAACGTTTCTTTCGCCCGTGAGTTTTAAATTGTAACTATGCAATGTGAATGACGGATTGGTTGTTTTTATTTGTGTTCTATGACTCTTTTCTATTTGTAAATAATAATGTAATGAATAAATATGTTTCTGAAAACCCCCAACTCATTTAAGCTTAGTACTTAAAATGTCCATGCATGCAGACTTGGTTTCGTCGCCATATGGCTGAGATAAGGCCGATGCGACGTAATATTCAACTCAACTCCTTTACAGGTAAGGGACGCAACCCATACGCCATCGCTCTGTTCGCTTCCTTTTCAGAACGACATACATGAAATTAGAGTTACATGTCGGACGAAATATTGACACAATGCAATCGCGTCTAAACCACATGCACATTTTCACCACCACCACCACGGACTAAATATCCATGAAAGTTACCTTAAGAAGCGCTTGTGCGAGATGAGTAGCCTACTGTCCAACCCACATGACATGTGAAATGAACAGCAGGTGTATGCGATGTTTTAACATATGACACCGTGTTTCTGTACTTTTATGTCGTTTACAGATTTTGTTATTCATTTCTATTCTCCAGCTGTTGCAGAATGATCCCGATTTTTCCAAGTTCGGCACGACCAGCAACCAGACTGACTTCACCTTCTCAACCATGCCAGTGGCGAAGGTGAGTGGGCCAGCGTTCTTCGTTCAGTTTTCCGCTCAAGGGCGACCGTCCACTTCCGTGAGATGTCAGTGGTTCGAGCAACTGGGCGCTGGTCTGCAATGGTCTGACTCTTTATGCTGTATGGAGTTGGGTGTCCATGTTACTCTGTGGCCAAATACCCAAGTGGGCTAGCACTCTAAAAAGCCGTTTGTCCAGGCTGAACAAAAGCACACACACGCACACATGAATTCACACATACATACACACGCGTTTAAAGGCACAATGTCACACTTTTTCGACAATATGTTGGCCTATATTATACACATTTTGGCATATGCACTCACTTAAGTTTCATATTGATGCGATATAAGACTTATTACCCCTTACGACTTGTCTGAAATCGATAATTGAAACATCGAGGGAAACAGCTTCCAAACAGAGAACACTTGCCATATTGCTCCATACATCGAAAACTGTAGCACGCGGTATTGTCGGTGTTTGCCGAACTGGTTTAAATCACATAGCTGTGTGTAGGATAATCGTAATGCGTGCTCTAAGGGACATACCTCTATGGGGTTCGCTCTATATAATGTTCGGCCGGTAGAGGGCTCGAGTGTCGATTTAATGCAACGTTGCATTAATTCATTCGAACTTTTTTATTTAATATTGTAATCTAAATACGTAAATTAATTTTGGAAGAAATTATATGGTAGCTTCCCTGAGGGCTGATAGTATTATTGAGAGAAATGCATTTTGGGGTGACATTGTGCCTTTAATAAGTATTGAAGTGCCTTAATCTTGAAGGTTAACCCTTCATAGCTGACGTCACGTGCAAATAACGTACTGCAAATACGAATTCATTGTTTTACTAATATAGAAAGCAGTTAACGTCCATACGTTGGCCATAATGATTGAAGCTCACATAAAATATCAGTTTGCCCTCATCTTACACCAACCTATATATACTGCACTTTCTCTATGCTTTTAATCTTCTGTATATGCTTTGATATAGTGTTTTTATACAAATATCCCCTTGGAGCAAGTGGTATTCCTGAGGATAAATCTCTCGAGGATAAACAAGTTTCCGTGTAGGCCTTTTGGGTTGATTCTAATGGATTTCTCCTCTGTTAGCATTGGATAAATGTTACTGTTTAAGGGCACGGATGGCAAGACCATTATGGAGAGCAATATTGAACGTCGTCATGGTGATAACGTCAAACTCTCATATGATCCTTCACGTCACACTGACGACAGGCAGAAATCACGTAAGTTACCCAACATTCTCTCTCTCTCTCTCTCTCTCTTATCGTTTGATTCTATTTGAGCGCAACGGATGAACTATGTGAAATGAAAGATCTCATAAATTGTTGAATTGGGAGAAATGTTATCCGACCTTCATACAGTTTGGCCTTCACTCTATGAAGGTTCATGCCCCAATGCACTCCACAAAGTGAAGGTCAATTATAAATTGTGAGTCACAGTTACGTGTTTGTGAAGTATGTGGTGCTTAATTCCAAAGGTAATATTCTGTTATTGGTCACATAAGAAATGAGATACAATACATAATTCTAGTCAGAGATTTCGATAAATCACACATGCTTCTCGAGCATGCAGACATCTTTTTACGTTTTTAGGAAACCAAGGATGGAATAGCTTTCTCAGCAACATCTGTAACATACCAATGTTTCAAGTATCAACTCATTGTAATATTCATCATGACCATTGCAGCCAGCTTGCTATTACAGGAACTTGTGTATTAGTATTTAGTTTCTATAACGTACTATTGATTGATTGAGTTCAGTTTTACGCCGCACTCAGCAATGTTACAGCTATATGACGTCGGTCTGTAAATAATCGAGTCTGGACCAGACAATCCAGTTATCACCAGCATGAGCATCGGCCTACGCAACTGAGATACGATGACATGTCTGATTATTACGCCAAGCATGGGTTATTGTAACCCGGATCTTCACGGGTACTAACTATAAGGTGCTAGTTTTATCCAACATGTTTCCTTTGTTGTACAATATGAAACACTTAACAATGCGTTTCAGTGTCCCACGGGGACTACCTTAACCCCCCTAGTGAGTACACCCCCATACAGCCGGTGAGGGCTCCTACAGTAGAGTTCGACTATTTGAGGACTAATGACGCCCTGCCTTATGAGGGCTTGCCACGCCTCAGCGAGGCGAAGGTGAGTAGGGGACGACTTGTGAGCTGTCTAAAGTCGCTTTGCTACACAATAGTGCATAACATATATAATATAATCTCATCCTAACTATAGATTACTCAAATCATGAATGAAGATTCAAAGTAATGCTCCTAGTCTTCGTGAGCGTCATTTATAAAGAGCCACAAACTATCCCTTTCAGCTTTGTCATTATTGTTTAGTTTTGCCCGGTCATAGTCCGGCTTAATGTTGGTTCTGTTATAACTCTCCGGATTTTAAGGACGAATAAAAAAATTCCTGCCACTAACAATACATTGTGTAACATGGGTTATCAGCGCAGTAACACTATTCCAGTCATTTATCTATCGAAAGTCGTGGACGTTTTCGACTTAACACTAAATCCTACAAACGGGGATGCCAGCTTGAAACAACGGGTTGAATTTAGTACATGACACTAGAATCATCGACGCCACACAAACTTTTCAAGTGTTTCTCAGTATTAGTTGTGGAATTGACGAGAGTCATAACATGCTATTTACTCAGCAAATGAAAACCTGATGATGAGTATGGTTTTGTGAGTCAATGTTCTAAGTTGGGCTGACACATTGTACTCAGTGGCTGCATACCTGGGTGTTCGGCGTGACGAGATATTTAAACCAAAGCTACCCTCCCGCCCCAATCATTAAATATTGTAAAATAAATTTGTCTTGACAGAAGAGACCCACTGACATTTATCTTTCCACTTCAGAATAATTTTGCCGGTGCTTTCATGGGCGGTGTCCATGCCTTGAACCGTAGACGGCAAAGAGAGGAACACTGTCGAGATCGAACTCAGATGCGCAAGGAAACCCACTTCTCTCTTGGCTATTCCGGTCCTGACTTCATCTCCGAGACTGTCAATCAGTTTGATGGCCGGCCCCAGACAGACAAAGACCAACCTGCTGCTGGAAAGACTGAATTTATTCCGGACTCTAAGTTCGGCCACTTGAACATTAGTGAGAACACCCAGGATATGATGGCGGCTGACCCGTACGTGTCTTCTAGCAAAGAGGCCTTGACCATCCGGAACCAGTTTGAGCCGGCCAAGACTGAACCTGCTTTTAATACCTCTGTGACGAAGAGTGATTATACTCCGCTTGGAAGAAGAAGGTAATCTCTAAGGACGTGCAACGCTAAACGGAACGTCGATTCTCTCAAATAGTTTCGAACGTCACCAGACAGACAGACAAAAAATATTCAGTAGTTTAGGCCACTAGTACACACTATGTGTACAAAAACAACTGTATACAAACATATTGGGTATAATCAGCAACAATTGTAAATATAATTTCACTAGGTATCAGTTGTCATGAAACCTGGGTGGGGGTGGGGGATTAACGTTTTTTAAATGTGTTTCTATATTTTACAAATAGGTTGAAATTATTGGATCGTTGCAATTTCAATTATGAATGATGAAAGGCGATTACAGTTTTAAAATACATCGCTTTGCAAAATAATGTGTTTACATGAAAATGGGAATGGACCCAAATAGTATAATAGTATTATAACCACAATGTAACATGGATATTTAGTTCCCTTTGCCAGGCAGATTGTTTGAACAACATTCATACTATTCTGGAAATAATACCATGTTGTGCTTGTGGCAGTATTTCATTGTTGCATCATCAACAATATGTTTTCAGGATGAACGCTCATCAGCTGAGGATGCTGGACAAATACGACACACTGTCGAGGAAGACTATCGAGAACTCGCACCTGTTCCATACTGACAACACCGGGAGTGAGTCTTTCAGTTTCGTCTGTTATAACTGTGAATAATCACTCGGACATACTCGGCGATTTCCGTTTACGTAAACAATACCTCGGACACTACACATCACTGAAGTATCGCATAATAATAATACCAGTGAAAATCCGGGCTAGAACTGATCAACCTAAGCTTGTCGTAGGCGTCGCCTAACGGGATCGGGTGGTCAGGCTCACTGACTTGGTTGACATATGTCATCGTATCCAAATTGCGTAGATCAATGCTCATGATGTTAGTCACATGATTGTCTGGTCCGGACTCGATTATTTACAGAACGCCGCCATACAGCTGTAATATTGCTGAGTGCGGCGTAAAACAACAAACAAATGTAACGATATATATTGTCTCACCCTCTCTATCGCAGTTGTAGTTACGTATTTTTTATAATTGCGCCAAACAATCTGTAAATCTCAATGCAATCTAATTGGCCTTTTTTGCAGGGAATAACTACCTGTCAACAACAGTAAATGATTTCATCAAGCCGGAAGCCATGACAGGTAAGACACTGAGACTTTAGAAAAGTGTAATTCCAATTAACCCTTTTTAGATGGGTATACAAACAGGGCAGCCGACTTCCATTTTCGTGGAAGCTGCGTTGGCTTAGTGGGTTAGATCGCTGACTTTGTGTGGTGGCGATGAGGTGTCTGACTCCTTGTGAGTGTAGGTTCGATTCCCGGACTGGACGCAACCTAAAACAAGTACTAGAATATGTACATACTGGGAAAGTCTAATATCAAATATAGGATATGTTACAGGAAGGTCGTGTTTCTCAAGGTGTATGTACAGTGTATAGGGCAGCTAGTGAGAGTGTAAAGTGGACGGGCATCAACAGTGTACTTGACCGCTCACGTACAGTGTCATGTAGTGACCAATGTGCAGATCGATGATGTACGCAAGATTCATGTGTACACCGTGACAGCGAATACGCCGTTGTGTGACTGATATTAAGACAAACGTACGTAAAATACCTACCCTTACGCAGAACGCAATCTAAGCGAGGCAACTCTTGTTGGCGTATCTTGTGAGTGTGTTGGCACAAATTGCTCTAAAATCTACAATTATTCGTGTGAAGTAAAACATTGTGTATCATCAGTGTGTTTTACGAAGATTCCAAAGGTTCATTAAGGGCATGGTACACTAACAAATGCATCCAGCAACTAGCAGTATTGGTCATGTTGTGGTCGTTCCCATACTCACAGGAAACAAAGAGGTGTTTATAATTGTTTATTAATGTCTAGTAAGTGGCCTTCAGTGAGAGATTGCGTGAGTTCGTTTCTTCGTTTCAAGCCTGCTTTTGAACAGTACTCGGTCATATTACGACGTGTAAGCATGATGTTTAAGGAGAGCCCGAGGTAATGCTGGTATCCATTGTTATCCAATGTCTACTACTTTGGTGAAACTTGGGTTTAGTGCTAACAATCCTGGAAACAATCATGGGGAACTGGAACGTTCTCCCACACCAAAGGGACCTAACTCTGAACAGCAAATTGCGGCGTCTTAGACGACTGCGCGGAAGTTGACTGTAAATGACGATACCTACTAACAATATGATCTAATACTTGCCTCATTTCGTTACAGATATTTCGTTTCTGAAAAGAAACCCACAACTAAAAATCACAAGATTTTGAATTTGAACTGTAGGTCTATTCGGGTTTTTTCCACAGGCCAGAAGCTTCTTGCAGCCAGATGAAGATGATGGTTCAGGTGCTGAGGAATTCACATTCGGCTTTAAATGAATGATCTGCGATCCAGCGTTCTAATATATGATTATGATGTTTATTTATGTTTTCATTCCAGTTATGAATACTTGTATTTGTTTTATTTTCGTTAATCATTTTTATTTAATTATTTTAGAGTGCTGCTTAGGAATATTGAAACACTGTATTGACAAACTATGTTTGCTTCAGAAATATATTGGCTACTGGATTTCTATTTCTTTATATTTCCAGTAATCAAATATATTTTTTAACTGTTTATGTTGATAAGAGAAGCTCATGACATCAGTGTTGTTTTTCGGGCGCACATCTTTGGCCAGTTGCATAATCTGTCAGTATTAACCCATGTGCTTTCAAATGAACATATGAATCTGAATTTCGATGTTTTTAAGTGTAACCTGTTTGTTCCTATTTCGCTTGCTAAACATTTTAGGAAAACATTTCGTCGTCTGCTGTTTATGTTTGACTTATAAGTGTTATGTGTTTATTTTATATGTTATTTATCACAGGATCTTTGATATGGACACGTGTCATTTAATTGTCTCTATAATCATGTCGCAATACCTTAATTTGTTTCATTGTACAGTTAAATTATACTTTTTCCTTTATTTTATTTGTTTTTATGTGTTTTACTTCTATTTGTACCGTATCTGTTATACAGGTTTGTAATCAATAGATTTCACATTAATTGTCCCTGTGATAACATAACGTTTTTATATAATCCTGTGATACATACATCCAGAATAATTTAACCCTTTTGTTCAGTTCCATCTTGATGCATGTAAATGTTAATAGCAAATGAAGCAGTAGTATAATACTTGTGTAATTCCTTGGAGATAATGGTTGGTTAAATTATGTCGCTTTCGTAATTGTTAAAATTTACATTTTATAAAAGATACCTGGGTCCCGTGCTATGATGCGATCTGTGTGCTACTCATGGCCATTGTAAACTCCCATACTTTCAGGAATACTTACGACTCATCGCTTTGGGGAACGGGGCCCTGTTTTTATAAAAGAACCTAATTTTGTGCTGACTTATAAGTGTTCGAGTGTTGAAATGTGAAACCTCGATAGTCCAGACACCGTACTTTCCTGTCAGTGTCTCCAGGGGAACGTCAAGACAATGTTTCCATGTATCGATGACTCATTAATCCAGACACTGGAAGTGTTACCGCTGGGTAAACAGGTTTTCATCGTACATGCATATGAGCTTGAAGAAATCTGAAAGATTTTCTTTCGAAAATGAATTACCTTGCGATGGATGCGAGGGTGTAGAGTGTTTCTCATGAATAACTCTCGCAGTGTTTAGTTTCGGAGATGAAGGAAAGAAAGTCGTCCTCTGATATACTCAGTCCCACACTGGCCAGACACTGGACTTGACGGATGTACAGGCGGAACTGATGGCTATCTTGTTGTATTTCATATATGATATTTGCATCGTGTTGTCTGTTAATATTTGACATTTTCGACACAGTAATAAATCTTCTCATCTTTGTCGGAGCTTTATACATGTATCGTGTACCAGGATCCGCAGACCCGTATGTCGCCATGATTAAGACCCTTGGGACGCCAACACGTACACCTTTTAAAGTGGTTAAATGAGCGTATGTCCCCTTGTCCTTCTTCCACGTTGGTGTACGGTTAATCGTTTTCTGAACTTCAACTCATGGCTCTTTCTCGCACGGATTTCACCATGGTAAAGCTTGAACGCGAGTTCTTCAATTTGTCACTGACGACAGTATTAGGCTTGACTATTTACAGATCACTTTTCGTTATATATTCGAACACCGGTAGAGTGACAGTCGTATGTCTACAAACTACCAACTAGAGGCACTAGCTTGTGACAGTGTCTCCATACCATTATTTGATTATCTGGATATTGCGCCCGGGTTCAACCGCATTGATAGAAACTTACCGCATCTGTTCCATAGATTGGTTAACCAAGCAATTTTGGGGTTTTACGTTTTCATAAACCTGCACAATATTTAGGTCACGCCCACAAACTGATTGAGCAGGGTGGGCATGGCTTGTGGTGCATAATCCTCATTGGCATATCTGTTTTTGCCTTTTTTTCTAACGTATTTAATAAAGCAATCCGTGACGTTGGTAGCGTTTTTATGACTAAAGATATTTTGCGGAATGGAGGTATAAACGTCAAAACCGTCATGTGCACACTGTATACGTAGTGAGTGAGTATGGTTTTACGCCGCTTTTAGCAGTATTCCAGCAATATCACTTCTGGGGGACACCAGAAATGGGCTTCACACATTGTACCTATGTGGGGAATCGAACCCGGGTTTTCAGCGTGACGAGCCAACGCTTTAACCACTAGGCTACCCCACCGCCCCTGTGGACACTACAATGCAAATCCACAGTTATGTACTGCCATGTCCCATGTCGACGATATTCAGTTCAGTTTGTTTATTTCTTTATTATTTAACACCACACTTTGAAATCTTCTGAAGCACTCATTGACATCATGAGCATCGATCTACGCAACTGGGATACAATGACGTACATCAAAAAAGTCAGCGAGCCTGACCACCCGATCCCATTTGTCACCTCTAACGACGAACAAGGGTTGCAGAATACCAATTCTAACCCGGATCTTCACTGGCAGTAACGTCCACTAAATCAAACGGTAATTGTGTAGTAGCTTCTGTCTTGTCCTACGAGGAAGCCGTTAATGCTCTTGTATTGTCAAAATAAAAACAACGCTTAAGAAACGACACGCGATTCTTGAGAGACACAACACCAAGGTCGCCATCGAGTTGTTCTATTGAGCCAACGTACATGGCCTGGTGGTCTCGCCTTCGTTACCACCTCATCTGCATACTAATCGGCCTGTGTTCCGCTAAAGGTCAAGTCAGATGGACAGGGAATGTCCGTCGTTCATCAGCCATTAGGGAAGACAGCTACATCACACTTTAACTTGCTGACATGAAATTGGATAGTTGTGGTGGTCAGTGGTTGAGGCGTGGACAATAGATAGTAGTGACACTGTCCCTCCTTGTTCACGCTAGGGTTTTCGTTATAATGTGGCGGTGAAATAGACATTGCTACTGTGTGTGAGGATGAAGATGGTCCATCAGAATATCTGATGGTCTTTTCTAAAATGGACGTTGTATTTATTAAGTTTGTGATATCAAAGCAGAAAATGAGGAATTTGTCATAACATTGTAATCTTTGAAATTTCAGTGTATGCAAACCGAATATTAAGGATAAAATGGATTTACAATTCTCTCTCTCTCTCTCTCGCTCTCTCGTTCGCTCGCTCTCACACACACTTGTGGGTTGATGGATATGAAACTTTATCATTCTCTATTGGATATATTCTGTACATATACATAGACTCTGTTTTTTCTTGGATTTCTTGATATGGATTTTGTTATATCGGCATTGTATCATGAATAATTGATAGCTCAAAATATCTTAAAATAAGTCTACGGAGCTTCATAGACATGAATGTCAATTCATCAGAATAACTCGAGCTGTCTTGGGGGGAACACGTTGTCAATCAATTTACGTACGCCATACCTTATGGCGAGAAACATGAACACAGTTATCATGGAATAACTAAAGAGGTAAGAGAATTAAGATTATCTGTGTGATGTCAAATTCCGAGGCTTAGGTGTTCGACATACATTTATTCACTGGGGACACACAGCTGATGTATTAAAAGGGAACGTTGTGCTAATGCTTGTGTAAAGTACATCGTTGAGGAGACTTGTGAAGGGCTGGCACATGAAATACTTGTGCAAGGTAGGTATGTTAAGAGACTTTTGAAAGGCTGTGTTACGACGTAAATTGTAATAAAAACGCAAATTTTAATACTTGCAGCAAATTGTAATAAACTTGACGTAAATTATAATAAAAACGTAAATTGTAATAAAAAATGGACGTAAATTGTAATACGCAAATTGTAATAAAAATGGACGTTAATTGTAATAATTATCGTTGCGGTAAAATGTAATAAATATTTACGTAAATTGTAATAACAGTTTTAATCACTCGTAAATACGAGGGTTTTTGTTTTTCGTTGCATTTCATACATCAAATAAGCTTGTTAGGGCGATAACTCAAGAAAGAAATGATGGATTATGTTCAAATTTGGTACCAAGGTATATTGGCGAGATTCACCGACACAAGTGAAATGGAGTGACCTTGAGATAAGTTTCAAGGTCACAGCAAAAATCTGAGGGTTTTGCCAATATAAAGATTGTTAGCGCGATAACCCAAGAAAGAATTGACAAATCTTAGCCAAATGACGAAAATGATATTCGTCCTGATATATAATCGATATAAAATCTCTTACTGTCCTCTGTATCATGTTTTTTCGCAAATATCTTTTGAGGTTTTGATATGTATAAATATAAAGTGGGGAGGGGTGGGGGTGGGTTTCTAACAGCTATATCAAATCAAATCAAATCATATCAAATTAGACATTTGTATAGCGCTACATATTCAGAGTCCTGCTCATGTGCGCTTATAAATTTTTCTATAGTCGAATGCTCGTTTGAAGAGGATGGTTTTGCGACAAGATCGGAAACTGTTGATATTTTCCGATTTTCTGACATTTTCAGGTAATCAATTCCAGAGTACAGCACCCGGTCTGCTAAATGATCTGTCTCCGTATGTTGTGGTTCGGACAAATGGAATAGCCTAGCTAGCTGACTAGCAATAAAATGCATCACAAATTAAACTTCAGGAAACAAAATATGCAAGAAACATTTTTGTATGTTTGAGATTGGTAGAGGTCGGCTAGAATCAAACTTAGATATTAAACTGCACAAAAAGGCAATTTGAAACTACAATCGCTTGTTCAAATGACTCCCCATTCGGTTTACTGAAAGAACTCGAGAAAGAAATGATGGATTTTGTTCAAATTTGGTACCAAGGTTTATTGACGAGATTTACCGACACCACTTTAATTTAGTGACCTTGAGGTCATTTTAAAGGTCACAGCGAAGGTGTAAAAGTTTTGCACATGCCAAGCTTGGTAGCAGCGAACTTAGTAAAGAATTAATAAATTTTGATCCAATTTTATATCAAGGTGTATTGGCGGGACTCCCCCTACACCAATTGAAACAAAATATGCAAAAAACATGTATGTTGGTAAAAGTCAAACTTAGATATTAAACTGCACAAAAAAGCAATTTTAAACTATAATCGCTTGCTCAAGTGACTCCCCCTTCATGTTTACTGAAAGGGCTTGTTTTGGACACACTACCTACCCCCTTTCAGTTGACGTCATCATAAGGATATAACTCATCCTAAAGTTTTCACTTATTCATCCATGGTGTCAAGGGTTCAAACTAAATACTGAATGGTCACACAAGTGTCAGCTCTCAATACGTTGTATATCTGGACACAATGTTTTTGAAACTTTAAAATGAGGGTGTCCTAAAAAAAAAAGTCCCCGTCTAAATGTAAATCAAGCAATCCAAATCTTTGAATGTTGATGATGACGGGAAGTCATCCAATACTATGCTGAACATATTTTATATGATATTATCTGAGGGTATACCATTATCCAAG